TAAATTTTATTATTTTATTTTTTAAGCTATTATCTTATTCTATCTTCTCAAAAGAAAAACAACAACCTCGCACTAAATTCAAGAACATTGAAGAAAATTGCAGTATATATAACAAGACTCTCAAACATTCTTACATTGCATAATTACTTTTGATGTTACATTTAATACTAGAAAGCTTCATTATCAACTTCATCCCGCAGCTTCATCAAATTAACCTTCCCTAGAATGTAAATTTCGAGGATCAAGTTTGAATTTGAATTTCTTCGATTATCTGTATAATTCGCACTCAATCTGGCATTTTCCCTGTGTCATGTGTGTCATTGTCAGTGTGAATGGTTTCTTCGGATGATTGATATATGTATATTTTATTATTATTTTGATGTTAAGGCAAGGGCATTATGTATATGTATATATATGTGTGTGTGTGTGTGTGTGTGTGTGTGTGTGTGTGTGTGTGTGTGTGTGTGTGTGTGAGTGAGTGTGTTTATATTTATATATATGTACATGTATATGTATATGTGTAATATATATATACATATATATACATATATGTACACACACACACATATATATATATATTAATATATATATATATATTAATATATATATACATACACACACATATGTGGTACATACATACACACACACACACACACACACACACACACACACACACACACACACACACACACACACACACACATATATATATATATATATATATATATATATATATATATATATATATATGCAGACACAGATATATGTATGTATGTATATATAAACATATATGTGATACATATATATATATATATATATATATATATATATATATATATATATATATTTATATATATATACACATATGAATACACACACACACACACACACACACACACACACACACACACACACACATTCACACAGGCACACACACACACATATACATATATACACACAAATGTACGTGTGTGTGTGTGTGTGTGTGTGTGTGTGTGTGTGTGTGTGTGTGTGTGTGTGTGTGTGTGTGTGTGTGTGCATAACTATATGAATGCATATGTTAGGTGAATATCGTTTATCTTCGCTATCAATGACCTTCACCAACAAGGTCGTGCGACGAACACAGGAGGAAGCAAAACTCAAAAATTCGACAAGCATTATCATTTAGCAGTTTAGGAACCAATGGGCAGAGACACACCTTCATGGAGCCGACTTCCCTTTTTGTACCGTGAGGACTGAGGCGCCTGTTTCAAAACCTGCTTCTGTTTTGACTTACGAACGCATATTATGGACTTGATCACAGAGTCAATAGGAACTGGATACCCGTCCCTCGGAAATAGAACACCGTGCATAGTGCTTGTTAATGCATATGATAAATTGCCCTCTAGGGTGTGTGTACTTTAAGTATGTGATTGTACGTGGACCAAATACACGCTATAAGATTATGTGTAAAAATATATCAACCTGTATGATATGTACTTTAAGGAACATGAGACCGTTTGCATTCCCTCATTTTAAATGCCGTTTGGCACAAACATGAGCTGAGATTTGCATATGAATAACATCACTTTGTCTATGTATTAAACAATCAATTACAAATAAAGGTGCATGGAACTTTTTTAAGTTACATATTTCATATGAGGAACTTGCTACCTTGCTCACAGGAACTCTAACGTGGTGAGACTGGGAGATGACCACCTGATATGGCAACACTAGATGACTACCAGTTTATTTTCAACAATGTTTTCCAATACTGTATGATATTGCTAGCCTTCGTTACCCTCTGATATAGGTTTATTGGAAAATACTTTGTTACCCGACCGTCTGGCTTGGCAGTGATCAACCTTTTGACAATATGGAACCGTACCAAGAGGTCAGCTTATATTACTACTAAGCTTGCATTGCCTAATCACTCCGAAACCCTTTGGTAAAACCTTTTGCCACACTAACATGACAACATACGACCTCAGACCACCTAAGATGGTCGCGTTGTTAGCTGTTCTCTTCCTCTGCTTGGAAAACCTCCTTCGTTAATGGGATGTTCGTCTTTTCGTGACTGCAACAACGCCACGACTTTCTGGTAACAGTGACTTTTCGAGGGCCTATACGGTAAGGTAGAAGGCATGAGAGACCGGCCTGTTGAACTGGAAATATTTAGACATTCCCCTTAAGCTTAAATGTTAAAAAAACAAAAACATATCTCAACCTGGTTATTTTAAACTTACTTACACCTTTCAAGCAGGCTAACTACCATGGCACTAACGAAACATTAAATAATGAAGTTTATCTAGCGACGAAATCCTTTATTTTTTCTTCTACACATGGAGAAAGGTTGACAGCAAATGGTAATTATACTCATAGTTTGGAATATAAGAAGCTAATCCTAACTACCCTATTATAGGCGGCAACCCGGCCAGTCACACTTGATCTGTCTCAAGGGCGCGCCTGAACACATCACCCGGGACGGCCTGCGGAGGGACACCGGCACCACACAGCTCCTGCGGCGGCGTATGATTGGAGCTCCCGGAGAGAGGCAAGGGCACGCGGCCAGGAGTGACACACAGTTATATCTTTCCTCCTGCGGTTTTAATTTGTTCGTGGGAGTTCATGATTTGGACTCGATTACGCGTATCTAGATTCATTATGACGCTTTATATGTATAAAAAGAAAGAGATAAAAAAAATCACTTCGCCAAAAGATGTGTGTCATTCCCTTAGCTCGTGACTTCCCTTCGCCGGGTTACGATACTATGGAAACCTTATTGAATGTGACTCTGAGTTATGGGTCCCTGACATTCTTAAACAACAATCAAGTTGTGACTTAATGATATTACGATTACAAGCATTTCATTCTATGATAAGTATCAGTGCATTATGGCCGATGTATCATGGATCGACTGTAGTTTAAGAATGCGGGGTATTATAGCTAAAAATCTCTGTACTGGACTATGGAAAATTGAGAGGCAGTCGACACCACCACCCTGCGGAACATCTTGACTGTCATCTCTTGCAACATTTCAGCCAAAAATGGATTCAAAAAATATCGAGGACTCGATCGAAAGTGCTTCCACATCTCCAAGAAAGTGGGCCGGGACTGACTTGGTCGCGTAGTCCTCTCCACTTGCGGGGAAAACACTTACTTGGAGTTCGATCTCGGCCAGATGTGACGGATCAGCGATTCGAGCCTTACAGTATTCAGTTTCATTTCTATCTATTTTGAATAGAAAAAATGACCCATATCAAACCCCATTTTAAGACTTGCAATTGCCGATCGCATCACAACCATTTGATAGGAACTATGGAACCTGTCTAAGGATTCTTAACAACTGAGAGGTAGTTTGGTAGTTTGCGTGGTGCTGCCCACAGGCGTCTGGTGCTGGTCTCCCTCCATCCCGGCCTTCCACAAGCCATCACAACAAATAGCACACTCATAGTACCATTGTTTCTCTGTCGAAGACCCTGACTCGACTCCGTGGCGCTCTCGGCGTATACAAAAGTGACCTTCGGGAAAAAGGCACCATTTTTGGGGGAATAAATACCCTTACTGGATCCTCAGCTTTCAAATGTCATTGGTTAGAAATCATCTTATTTTTGATGACATAAAAAAATCAGTAAAACTAATAACCATAAGTAAGTTATGATATCAGTCACAAGACTGCATACTTGAAGTAAAAAAATGAATGATGAAATAAAGAGCAAACTCATCCCAAGACATTTTTTAAAAATCCCCTCCATAAAAAAAAACTATAATCATCGAAAAAGGACAAACAAGAGAGGAATAAGGCATGAAAACATGATTAATATGCAAATGAGAAAGCATCCCGGAGTTCGCGCCAGGGTCCTGAACATAGGACGTAGAACAACCTAATGCTCTCCCATACAGAATTCTGACCCCTAGCTTCCCCCATCTTTCTGTAGCCGTTCATTTCGAGCTCGTGTCTTTGGAGGTCAGCGGGTACCCCAAAAGCGGCTGCCTCCGTGACACTCGAAAAAGGGTTCTTCTTCCGTTTTTTTGTTTTATTTCTTCTTTTTTTTTTGAAAGAGAAAGACGAACCTATTCGAACGAAAAAACGTATATAAAGCTCATTTATTCGCTGACACCATCACTGTGTAATGATCAATGCAGAACTAGCTTTTTTTTATATGGACTGTTATGTATATGCCATTATTACCTCGAAGTAGACTTTGACGGCTTGCATGTGTGGGAAACGAAGTGGATAAAGTTGAGTTTCAGTTTGCGTCAGAACGTACGTTTCGCACGTCCTGTCTGGGAGAATCTAACGTGCAGATGTTAGGATATAGTTGAAGATTCTTGCGAGGTTTCCTTATCCTAAGGTTTCAGGATTATCACCTTGACAAGTGTGAGTCCTCCGTTGCTTCTGTTGTACCTCCTTCGGGGGTCCCTCGGGAGGTCAGGAACTGTCGGACAAGTGACACGAGCGTCGGCGGAGGTAAAACATAAGTAAAGAAGCGGGCTTGACCCGGGCTTGGCGAGGTCACACTGCCGCTACAGGAACATAGTACTGGCCACGATAAACCTACGTAGGAACCATTACCCACAGGATCAAGTGTATGATTGTATGAGTCATTTCCCCACGCCCACGCCGCGCCTCCCGAGCCCACTCAGCCCACGCCTGGCCCTCACAGCTGCCCATCAAGCCCGCCCATGGAGAGCTATGCGGGCGCACTCCTAGCAGGTCTGTGGCGTGGGTATGGGTCTGGGCGGCGGGCGCGGGCGGGGTGTGCGCGGCGTGAGCGGCCGCGACTGGCTACAACACGACGACGTCTACAGGACACAAGAGCGGCGAGGCCACGGCGACACACGACACAGCGCACGGTTTGTCAGGGCGCCGCGGGGGCGTTTACTGCGAGGCGTTAAGTGGGCGGGGCACGAGGCCCGGCCTGCGAGGAGGGGCGGCCCAGGGGGTCCTTGGGCTGCACTGCATTCAGGGCGGTAGCACGGGGCTACGGCAGCTGGGGATCACAGGCTGGAGGGCCGCACTACTGGCTCGGGGCCGGCTGCGGCCCGGGCGTCGACGCGGCGCTGTCCTTGTTGATGTTGGCGTTGGTGTCCGTGCCCGGGTGCGCCGCCTGGGCCAGGGCCGTGATCTGCCGCACCACCGCCGCCACCTCGGCGTCCTCCACCGCAGCTCCTGTGGAGGTGGCGGCAGCAGAGCGGTGCTGCTCCCCCTCCAGGTGGCGGCGGTATTCAGCCTGCGTGGCGGCGTGGTGGCGGCAGGCGGTACACGCGTACAGCAGCTGCGTCAGTCTCAGGACGCCGCGGGTGTGGTCGAGGGCGCGCTGGTGGGCCGCCAGGAGGGCGGGCGACGGGAACACGAGGCGGCACGACTTGCATACCCAGCCCACCTCGCCCTCCACGTGCTCCGCGCCCTCGCCGGCGTCGCTGGCGCAGCCGCCGTCCAGGGTGAAGCTCGCGCCCGACGACCCGCCCGAGTTCAGGTGGGCGTTGAGCTCGGAGTGGGCGGAGGGCGGCAGCTGGAGCATGGAGAGTGGGGTGCCGCCCCCGAAGGGCCCTACTGACCCGGGGTCGAAGCCCACACTGCTCGCACAACCTCCGCCGCCGCCGCTGCTACTGCCGCCACCGCCGCCGCCGCCGCCGCCGCCGACGCCTCCTGCGTTGTTGCTGGTGTTGTTACCTGCGGGAGAACACAACCATTAGCAAACATCCCATGAAAATATAAACTTATAATGAAACTATAAAATTATAAACTTACAAAATAAATCTGACTGAAAGAGAGAGCACGGGCATGGGCCACACTCCGTCACCATAGAAAGACATCCACACCAGAATTAATTCATTCAGTCAAACACCTGAAATTAACTTTGCATTTATTTATTTTTCGATTCATTTATTTATTTCTATTTACACACAAAATATTTCGAAAGACGCCATCTTATAGAGCGCGTTATCGCCACCGTGATCATAACCATTATCTCTTATCTGTAACTTAGCAGAAATCGTCCCCCGCTCCCCCCCCCGCCCTTTGATAATGTAGCCATAAGTATAAGCACGTAATCGAGCAAAGGGAATGGAAAAGAAATTGATGATAAAGATAATGATGATGATGATGATGATGGTGATGATTATGATGATGACCATGTCTACGATGACTGATGATGATAATCATGATTATAACAAGAATAATAATTATAATAACATTATAATTAATAATAACAAAAATCACTAAAAGACAAACAGGGGGAAAGGAGAAAATAAGATAACAATAACAATAACCAAAAAGAATCCCGAAGCATAAAACCAAACCGAACTGAATTGAAAAGAAAGAATAGTAACAATGAATTCGAGCTGGAAAAAGGGACTGAAAGGAAAGAATACTAACGCCGAAACGACCGAAACGCGGATCGTCCCAGCGAGCGACCTCTGTGAAGTCCCGACCTGACCCTCCGAACCCAAGCCCGCCCACCCTTTCTACATTATCCGCACGCAGGGTGGACCCCACGCCCGCCCGCCCGCCCGCCCGCAAAATGCATTCCGGTGAAATGTGAATGGCACACAAGCGCGTAAATATTATATGACACTACGGTCGGTCCGCCCATCCTGTGTGTTCCGGGTGAGTTCTGTCATGTGTCCCCCCCCCTCCCCCCCTCAATGTCAGTGGCTCTCGACCTGGGGACTTGGGAGGCGCTTGTGTTTGTCACTGTGTTTGTGATTATATTTGCGGGCGGTTGTGATTTTGCGATTGTATTTGTGGGTTGTTTGTGTGGTTGTCTGTGTATTTATGTGACTGTGTCTGTGATTGTATTTGCGAGCCTTTGTGATATTTGCGATTATATTTGTGGGTATTTGTGTGATTGTCTGTGCGTTTTGTGACCGTATTTATGATTGTATTTGTAGGTTTTTGTGTGACTTGGATTACCTGTGTATTTGTGTGTGCATTTGTTTTAGTGATAGTATATCCATTATCCAATCCATATATATTTGTTGTTATTTGTATGTGCGTCTGTGCGGTTGTGTGCGTAACCGAATGCATTTGCTTGGATTTGTTTGCGTTTGTACTTAAGTTATATGCACATGTGTATAAATATCTCCTTTGGTGTGTTTTACCAAGAAAGAAAACACATTTCATATTAAGAGAGGAAGAATATAAATAGAAAATGAAGATCAACAGCACGTAAACAACAGATAATAGAGAGTCAGGAAAAGAGAAACTTGAATGACGAGGAATAATGAGGGCGATGCAGCGACATAAAGAGGAGACCGACGAGAAAGGTAAACGAAAGGGTAAAGATCAAGCAGAGAGAGAGAGAGAGAGAGAGTGGGGGAGCGGGTTAGGAAGGCAGGGAAGGAAGGGGAGGGGAGAGGGAGGAGGAAGGGAGGAAAGGAGGGGAGAGAGTGGGGGAGGAGGGGAGGAAAGGAGGAGGGGAGAGAGTGGGGGAGGAAGGGAGGAAAGGAGGGGGTAGAGTGGGGAGGAAGGGAGGAAAGGAGGGGGTAGAGTGGGGAGGAAGGGAGGGAGGAGGAAGAGAGGGAAGGGGAGGTATGGATGGAGGGGAGCGGGATAGGTAAGAAGGGGAGGAGAAGGGGAAGGAGGGAGGCAGAGAAGGAGGAGGGGAGGAAGAGAGGGAGGCAAGGAAGGAGGAAGGGAAGAGAATTAGATCGAAAAAGAAAAAAAAAACACAAATAAATCACAAGTTCCACTAATAAATTCAAAGTCCCCACCCCCCCCAAACAAAAAAAATCAAAACACCAATCCCCAGATTCTACACCCACTTCCAGAACCACCTAAGAAACGCCTTCTTGAACCGAAAGAAAATCCGAGACCAGCACGTGACGTCATCGAACCGTAAAGAAAACGTAAGCAACGTCTTGAGGTTTCTTGGCACAGGCTCCGTCGGCCTCCCACTGTTTCGTGGTTTAATTACTTGTTCTTCCTTGTCTTCTCCAACACCTCCTTCTGAGCTCTTTGCTTTTTTATGCCTCTTATTTTCCTATTCTGTTGTTCATTTCTTCATTCCATTTCTTGCA